GCTTTGTGTGAACATGTGTAACCTTGAACTAATTGTGTGGCGTTATTATGGGATGCATTTCTTTTATATATATAGAACTAGAGATTGCTCTTCCCTAGGTGTAATATAACATATATAGTTTTGCCCTGTGCTGTTATAGTTACAGTACGAGGACGCATCTGAGATACGATTACATGCAGATAGGACAGATTTGAAATGTTGTACCGATTTGACAAAAGTGTGACTGTCTGGTGTACTGGTTTGAAACAAGGGTGTGTAAAGTGTGACTGTCTGGTGTACTGGTTTGAAACAAAGAGGTGTAAAGTGTGACTGTCTGGTGTACTGGTTTGAAACAAGGGGGCGTAAAGTGTGAATGTCTGGTGTACTGGTTTGAAACAAGGGTGTGTAAAGTGTGACTGTCTGGTGTACTGGTTTTAAACAAGGGGCTGTAAAGTGTGACCGTCTGGTGTACTGGTTTGAAACAAGGGGCGCTGTAAAGTGTGACTGTCTGGTGTACTGGTTTGAAACAAGGGGGTGTAAAGTGTGACTGTCTGGTGTACTGGTTTGAAACAATGGGGCTGTAAAGTGTGATTGTCTGGTGTACTGGTTTGAAACAAGGAGGTGTAAAGTGTGGCTGTCTGGTGTACTGGTTTGAAACAAGGGACTGTAAAGTGTGAATGTCTGGTGTACTGGTTTGAAACAAGGGGATGTAAAGTGTGAATGTCTGGTGTACTGGTTTGAAACAAGGGGTTGTAAAGTGTGACTGCCTGGTGTACTGGTTTGAAACAAGGCACAGTAAAGTGTGAATGTCTGGTGTACTGGTTTGAAACAAGGGGCGCTGTAAAGTGTGACTGTCTGATGTACTGGTTTGAAACAAGGGACTGTAAAGTGTGACTGTCTGGTGTACTGGTTTGAAACAAGGGGCTGTAAAGTGTGACTGTCTGGCGTACTGGTTTGAAACAAGGGGCTGTAAAGTGTGACTGTCTGGTGTACTGGTTTGAAACAAGGGGGCGTAAAGTGTGACTGTCTGGTGTACTGGTTTGAAACAAGGGCTGTAAAGTGTGACTGTCTGGTGTACTGGTTTGAAACAAGGGCTGTAAAGTGTGACTGCCTGGTGTACTGGTTTGAAACAAGGGGCTGTAAAGTGTGACTGTCTGGTGTACTGGTTTGAAACAAGGGACAGTAAAGTGTGACTGTCTGGTGTACTGGTTTGAAACAAAGAGGGTGTAAAGTGTGACTGTCTGGTGTACTGGTTTGAAACAAAGGGGGTGTAAAGTGTGAAAGTCATGTGTACTGGTTTGAAACAAGGGTGTGTAAAGTGTGACTGTCTGGTGTAATGGTTTGAAGCAAAGGGCTGTAAAGTGTGACTGTCTGGTGTGCTGGTTTGAAACAAGGGGATGTAAAGTGTGACTGCCTGGTGTTATGGTTTGAAAGAAGGTGCTGTAAAGTGTGAATGTCTGGTGTACTGGTTTGAAACAAGGGGCTGTAAAGTGTGACTGTCTTGTGTACTGGTTTGAAACAAGGGACTGTAAAGTGTGAATGTCTGGTGTACTGGTTTGGAGCAAGGGACTGTAAAGTGTGACTGTCTGGTGTACTGGTTTGAAACAAGGGACCGTAAAGTGTGACTGTCTGGTGTACTGGTTTGAAACAAAGAGGGTGTAAAGTGTGACTGTCTGGTGTACTGGTTTGAAACAAAGGGGGTGTAAAGTGTGAATGTCTGGTGTACTGGTTTGAAACAAGGGTGTGTAAAGTGTGACTGTCTGGTGTAATGGTTTGAAGCAAAGGGCTGTAAAGTGTGACTGTCTGGTGTGCTGGTTTGAAACAAGGGGCTGTAAAGTATGACTGTCTTGTGTACTGGTTTGAAACAAGGGACTGTAAAGTGTGAATGTCTGGTGTACTGGTTTGAAACAAGGGGCTGTAAAGTGTGAATGTCTGGTGTACTGGTTTAAAACAAGGGGCTGTAAAGTGTGACTGTCTGGTGTGCTGGTTTGAAACAAGGGGCTGTAAAGTGAATCTGTCTGGTGTAAAGGTTTGACACGAAGTGGTGTAAAGTTGTAAATGTTTGATACACTGGTTTGACACAAGGGTTTGCCGGTTTAACATACTGTTGTGTAAAGTGTGAATGACTGGTGAACTGATTTGACACGAATGGGAGTAAAGTAGGAATGTCTGATTTAACGGTTTGACAAATGATGATGTAAAGTGTGAACATCTGGTGTTTTTCTAGTTTGGCACATGTGGTGTTCAGAAGTAACCAGAAACATTTATCGCTATTGAAATAAAATACTTTAACGTCAGAGATACCGACAGTCAACCCCACCCTCCACCCCCACCCCCTCCCCCACCCCCCTCCCCCCACTGCATCTGTGCACTGCGCTTGTCCAAGGCGACCTGCTAGGTGCACACGGTTTAAGGAAACATGACAAGGACTGAGTTTCTTGTTCGACTTTGTAATATTTTGATAAAGAATGAAGAACGTCACATGCCCACGTGTAATTCCCACGGCCCCTCTCTGAGATCATTTATTCACTGCAGTGTTAACACAAGTAAGTAGTGAAGAATATGATTATCTATAAAAGCTATTCTCGACTCCTCTTATATTATGCCATTTACTTAAATGTAGAGTAGTCAGTAGCCAGTAGCCTACATGTTCGCTCTTTACACTCAACGTTATATAGATGTTGTCCATTACTGCAGTTATATATACTCCTGGGGGATTGACGTGAAAGATCGTTACATGTTCCTTCAAATTTAACAATTTAACAACAACCAATAGGAACTATATTTAAAATCGCAGTTCTAAATGTGAAAAATAGTGTGATTTGGACTTGTGAGGAGAAAGATCACACATACAGCTGATCAACTACAAGCAGGGATCTCTTTGATACATTGTTAGATGTAAGTATGGAATCTCCCGTTGTCTTCACACACTACCAAAATTAGTAATAACCCTTTTTAACTTTGACAACAATTACATTCCCTATTATTTTAATATGGCCAGCTCAGCGTCCTGTGTGTGCTTCTACCACACCAAAACACAATGAGGATCACTCGAAGGGGTCTATTTTATATCTGAAAAAAACATATCTATCAGGTTATGCTTGATCACATCAATCCTGTAGACTGAACCCAGCTAACACACGACGTTGTCACAACGTTGTGGAAAGGTTGTGGATTGGTAACGTCGTGAAATAACGTTGTCACAACGTTATTATAACGTCAACGTGCAACGTTATTTCACAACGTTATAACAACGTTGCAAGTTCACGTTGTGAAAACGTTGTGCATCGGACATCGCACAATGTTTTGTAACTACGTTTCTGAAACGTCGGTGAAATGTTATAAAGTTTGCTTCTTGATAGTCATAAAGGAATAGAACTGCTTTGTCAAAAATCAACATGAATTTGTCAGAATACCAAGGCAGTAATGCATTACCTTTCTGTTTATTCGGCGTTTGAATTTTCATCTCTTAATACTAAAATTTCCAGAACGTTATTGCGTATCTCTATTACAACGTTAGTATTACGTTACATTGTAACGTTATTCCACAACGTAACAACAACGTTGCAAATTAACGTTGTGATAACGTTATGCTTTGGACATTACAACACTTTTTTGAAAATGATGTTTAGGAAGCCACTTGTAGATCTACCATCTCGTAGTTTTATTTTTTTTAAACATATTTATCTATGAACGCTGTTATCTGTCTACTAAATGTTGTCACAAGCAAAATTACAGTTAAAAACACATTGGCGCGCATTTTTTGCGGCGTGAGAGCGACTGCTGAAAAGTTTAGCCTGTTGCCTCGTGAAGTGACGTCAAAATGACGTCACATTGTCGCGGAAGATTTGTTGTCACACGCCATCTTAGTTCAAGCACACTCTGGATATATTACAACCAAGTGATTGTGCAGCAACGGGAACTGGACAGATGATCTGTGATTCAGATAAGGTAAGTTATTTTTCAAAAGCAGTCTCCGCTTGTTGATATATTTCTGTACATGCAGATAGTCAAATGATTTAAATGTATCGTATTATTCAGAAGTGGCGGGGTTTAGAATGCAGTTTGCCGGTCACTTTCACTGAGCTGAGCGTCAGTGTTGATAGTAATATTTGATACACAGAACGTGATGTATATAGAGGTGAAGGAAGCCCATGACTTTTTTCCATATTATTATTTTATGGATACCAAGGGTAATTACCAAGGGCAAGCAGTATATGTTTGACCAGAATTCAGTCTGGCGGCGTTTTGTGGTCGTCATATTATGTTCGGGTTTCGATCGTAAGCGTATAAGGTCTGTAAATAGGCCTAACGTATGCATCGCCTACTGACCACTGACAGTTATCGCCATTTCTTCCGTCTTATTTCTGAAATCTGAAAGTTTACATGTACTAAAATTCTGACTTTGATTTTTGTGAAACAATGTGGCTCATTCAGGCCATGGGGAAAGGTTGAGTAGATTTCTCTTATACAGCGAAGAGAGGGAATCAAAACAATGGAATTATTTTCAGATCGACTCTCTGTAGGCTGCTAGTTATAGCCCTAGCCTAAAGGGCTCAATGATGTTATGAAAAATTGTATTTTCGGGAAGAGACAGAAACATACTTGTTGTTCCCGAAAAGGCCCAATCAGCACTGACTGAAGTAGCCTAAATGTGGATCATATGGTTGTTGGTGCTGTCTATAAAGTTTATTTGAGCAAGGCGCTTATCATGTGTATTTTTAATTTTTCCAAAAAAAAAGAATCAATTCATCATGTTCCGATAACTAGATCTATGTCCGACTCCCTTCTAATGAAAACGAGCAATAGTAAAACGAGTCTCGTCGCGCGCAATAATGGGGTGTTTGCGGTATTGTTCTCGCTGGTGATGATAAGCTAGTCGATAGTCAAAAGTTAAATATCACCATACATTGTCAGTGATTTGGTCATCGTTTGTTGATTATTAAGGTGAAATAGGTGTCGATCTAGTCAATGTGCACCAATGAAAAATACAATGGAATTGATAGCAACCATAATCGTTCGGTTTTCGATCTCCGTATGTTGCCAGGTAGGCTACCATACTACAGAATTATATTTAACGATATTGAACTGTATTATGTTAATAAACGTAGTGTAAGTATATGATACTTGTTTCTCTGACACTTTTTGGCAATGAGAGAGAATAAAATGGTGATCGAAAACTGAACGAGTAAGTTCCAGTGCTCGCTACGAAATCGTACTGTAGCTAGATCTATATAAACAGCGCTGCGATGAAGATGTGAGTCGTAACTACAATGCCTGTCTAATATATCTGTTCCCGTTTGGAAAAGGTCCCCAACAAACCATGTTTGTACTAACATGATTGTGTGTCATTGTACTCTGACAGAGGTTGTGAGACGTGGCTCACTATAATAATCACTGGTTTGCCTGACCGGTTTGTCAGACCGGTGTATCTGTAAAACCAAATTACATTAGGTGGGGTTTTTTTTATGATGGTACTCATAATTTTGTTACTTATATCTGTAGTCTGAGTTTATTTCCGATCGGACATTATACATGAAGACTTTAGATTTACAGTTTTCCTAAATTTTAGGCAATTATACAATGTATGTTATCTTTTTGTTTAGACTACAGATCTAAATGTATGCTTATTGACTATAGTTTTAGTTTTGACTTTTTTAATATGTTGTCGTTGCAGCAAGGGGGAAAATGTTACACGACCATTCCAGGAGATAAAATCAAGAATGTTGAATCATTGAGGAACACACCAAATAAACCCTGGGCTGTGAATTATGTTAACGTAAGTACAATTGTTTACAGTTACATTCCATTGTCTATATCCATGTTAATTGGTGTGTATTTTTGCTTGAAATGAATGCTAAGAATGTAGATCTATTTATATAAATCTATGCTCGTACCACGTTTTGTATTCAACCTGATTCTTGATGTCTCTGAATGAAAGTTAAAATTTGTTTCCATCAGTCACTTGATTTATACATTACTGTTTGAATATTGATAAAACCTTATCTTCAAATGAATGTTTCTCGTCATATGAAATATTTCATTTACCTGCTCGAGATTTATTAAGCTGGTTGTATTTCAGGGAAGTGGAAGTGAACACCAAAGAAAGAAGATTCTGGCATTCAATAATTTCGAATAGTGTATAAATTTTCTATAATCTAAAAATAATAAAATGTCAACGCAAATGTGTCTTGGAGTTCTTTGTTGAATGGTGACTTCGCATGACTGAAAGTTGAAGTATACTATATGGACTTGATTAGAGACCGACCATTTAATATTCAAGGAGGTGGGGACCTGGAACTTTTCTATGGAGATTACATATGTTTTCGGTCACAGCTACAAAAGCAGATATATGATTTTCTTTAACTCTATGAGCCTGAAGATAAGCACCTTGCATCTAGATCTATGTCATTTTTTTCACCAGTCTGAACCGTAATTATTTTTGTCAAGAATTTTCGGTGACAATATATTTTTTCGATAATATTCCAGGACCCGACCCTCCCCAGAAAATATCACATGATCAACCCCTTACAATGTCTGCCATTCTTTTTTTTGTTTCTTTCAGTACAAGCCTAAAGGGTAATGGTGTCTGACTTTGTTATAGTCAAATCATGTATCTAGTTAACAGCTCAGTGGTGTTTTTACATTTTGAACATTGTTAGCAAAACACGATCTAACTCACTGTTAACCGGGCTATTCGACGCCCTGGTTTTAAAATATTGGTAAAAGGTATTTCGAATCATACACATTCACGTGACTAAAGCATATTCTAAAACATTTCCGGAACAAGTTTTGGGGTTGTTTTTACAACATTTTATTGTGGAATGGTCACAACCGTATTTCATCCTTGTAACACAAAGTTATTTCACGTCCTTGTGACAACGTCCATGGTAGTACACAGAATAACGTTGTAGGGACGCATTATTATAACATTGCCACAACGTAAAATACAACATAACCACAACGTAAATATACAACGTTCCCACAACGTAAAATACAACGTCATCACAACGTTGTGACGACGTGAATATGACGTAACACAACGTTAGGCCATGACGTTGTGACAACATAAATGGGAGTCCACAGAATAACGTTATATGGACGTAACATCCGCAACGTTACCACAACGTTAACACAACGTTCCCACAACGTAAAATACAACGTCATCACAACGTTGTGACGACGTGAATATGACGTAACACAACGTTAGGCCATGACGTTGTGACAACATAAATGGGAGTCCACAGAATAACGTCATATGGACGTAACATCCGCAACGTTCCCACAACGTGAAATTGTTAGCTGGGAAACAACCTTAGATTTGGAAATTGAACCTTCATGCCATAAAGTTTTGCCTCGGCTTGAACTTGATCTTTGAGTCTCACCACAGAGTCAAATGTATGTTCAATATAATCAGCAAATACGGGATGTTTATGTTGCCCAAACAAATATGTTATAAAAACCTAGCATTAAGATATTGTTTGTATGTCACAATGACTATCATCCCTGTGTAACACTGGTCTCTTGTATTGTCTTTGAAACACAAAGGTCAGGCAAGGATTATATTTAATGTTAATAAAAACAAACGATACCTGAACTTGACTATATAGAGGTAAAACCGTTTTGGAAGAGCCCATTCCCTTCCATAAGCGGACCGCCTCCGTGGTCTAATGGTAGAGCGTCCGCCCGGAGAGCGGAAGGTCCGGGGTTCGATCCCCAGCCGCGTCATTCCAAAAGACGTTAAAAGATGGTACTTGTCGTTACCCTGTCTGGCGCTCCGCAATAAGGGGCTAAAACAAGGACTCGGAGTCAGTATACTGAGTCTGAGTGGGGTATTCATGTTAAACTGCGCTATAAATCGGCATCAGTCCGGACTAGTACAAGCAGCCACACACACACACATACACGTGCATGCACGTCGCTATATAAATGCAATAATCTTAAATAAACGTAAAAAACCCATTTCACCTCACCTCACCTCACCTCACCTCACCTCACCTTCCATAAGCAAAACTAGCCAGTTGCTCCCGCACTGACGCTTCACCACCACACACCACAGCTCTAGTCATATATCTCTCCAGAATGTATCATACCTCCTTAAACCTACTTTACAAACACTGACCTCGACAACATGAACGGGCGAGTTATACTAATTTGATTAAGAAAATGTTTGTAGCTTCCAAACACTGATAAATATCTGAATATATATTGCTTCTGGTTATTATACAGTCAAACAAGGAGGGAGTTTATGCACACCACGGGGACAACATTGTTGACCATTCAACATCACACATAACCGCAGATTTGTTCGACTTTGAACAAAACCCACCACAAGAACACGTCAGTAGCGGTGAATAGGGAAAAAATTAACCTTATTTTTGGATATTACGATACAATCATGCGGTCATGTTGACCCAAAAGCTGGAGTAGAATGTCCTACTTCTCTAATCGGATACACAAGAAGACTTTGCACGCTTTGTAATCGCCTTAGCCTTAGCGGCCCGAAATTCACGCGTTGTTAGTGTGAGCCTCTCCCCTGCAGGTTATGCGAGAGCAAGGCAAAGTTGCCCCCGTATAGTGTAGTGTATCTTGTGCAGTGTATATCTAGCATGTCTGACCGGCTTTGAGACGACGAGTTTCTCAACATGCGATAGACGTAGTCTTAAGCTCTAGCATGCTAACTGCCTGTACTTAAAGCTATTACTAATGCAAGTTTCCTCATATTTTAACACAACTAATAACGAAAGCTACCTATACTGATATCAGATATATTAGTAAAGGAATTAATGTATCATCTTGCTTGATACTTTTTGATGAATCCATTTAATAGTGTGAATGAGTGATGTTTAACGCTGCTTTAATATTAGAGAAACACCACGTTGAGTCAACTTGACGGGGAAGAAATCATAAAATGAGGCACATCCTAGACACTCCCACTTTGGGGGAAGTTTCGAAAGTGTAGTATTGTGCTGAAATAGGTTTGCGTAATAGGAAGAATCTGAAATCATAGGGTTCTGTCACGCCTGTGGCATACAACTCTGCTCAGCAACAGATATAGACGAGTTGGCGACAAGTGGCCCCATCACTAATAGAATTATCATTCAGAAGATGGTTGCTCAGCTGGATATGGTTATTTTCTATTCAAAACAATATATAATTACAATATGGCAACTGAGGTGATATTTTTAAAATAATGTACAGTGTTCATGCAAGGGGCATTTTGTGCACCTAACCAATACTCCGACACAAGGAACAAATCTGTGCTGTCTAGTCTGGTACAATACAGATGTGTTCCATGCTGCGTATGTTCCAAGTTGCTGTTCTGAGCAAGACGAGTCGGAGGAGTGCATTATGTATAATCTTTATTATCATTATGACTTTTTTTATTCTCGGCTCATGAATTGTCATATACATACCAAAAATATGTTGGTACCCATTTACTGCAGTTTGCATTTTCAGACCATAACGTTTCATCAGATAATACTGTCTTTGCTCATTTTGTTGGCATTCGTTTCAGGAGGGTTCACTGATAACTTTCTATGTAAGGTGAGTGAGTGAATAAATTCCAGCAATATCACGGCGAAGGACGCCACAAATGGACTTCACACATTGTACCCATGTGGGGAATCGAACCTGGGTCTTCAGCGTGACGAGCGAAAACTTTACCCACTAGGCTACACAAACGCCCTTCCATGTCAGGTAATTGTGTTGCAGATGAGTTAATACCACCGTTCGCAATATTCGCTTAATATTACCAGTATCGTCACATGTTGGGTATGGAACCATGTTCTTAATTCTATAAGGTAACATTATATCTTCACATATAATGTCTTTTTGGATGGGTATATGATTTATTGCCATGCATTTTAGAAATGTAAGTATATGCTGTTGTTCGACATTCACGTTTGTCCTATTGGACGTTTTCCTGTTAATTATGATCATGTAAGAGACAACATCTGAGGTTTATGTCGACTTGTCAGCGAACCAGAAACAGGCTGCAGACATAGTACCCAAGTGGCGAATTACGAGCCAATTATTTAGGTGTACGGTTGTGACCAAGTAAAACACTTCCACCCTTACTGTAGATTTGGTTTGCGACATCTCGTTAACGGTCATGAAGATGTTTCTTATGTTAGCTCTGGGTAAGTACTTATATTTCACATTGTCATGTCTACAGTTTGTAGAGCATGCTATTGATCATGATCACAACGGCTGCAAAAGATCTGTAATTCACCATTGGCCGATATGTAGGGAGGCATTCTCTTTAAGACGGCATAAACTAGTTGCAGAAACTAATTTCAACACATGAACATGTTACGTGCATGCCCTTCTGGTACCTTCTTTCATGCAGGTTGGTCATTGTCACACATCGTACGTCGTATGAGGTGAAATGGGATTAAACGTCGCGTTCAAGATAATTTGACTATAAACATTTGTAAGCACGCGCGTGTGTGTGGATACTTGTTCTAGTCAGGGCAATTTTAGTGCAAGCCTAGTGAGATAACATACCGCAGCCTAACAGCATACCCAACTCAGACATGCTCGTATATGTAATACTGACTACAAGGTGTCCAATCGTTGCTATATCGTCAAATTGCCGAGCGCCAGGCATTGTAAGAACAAGAACGCCATATGTACAACTTGACCAGATATGTAAAATGTGAGTTCTGTTTGGCGTAATTCTATGTAATTATATGTTGCTCATTATAACTCAAATGAACAACACCTATATCAGAAGACATTATATAGATTAATCTCCTATTGCATCAGTTGAATTCAATAAGAAATAAACTCGTAGAGCCGTAATGCATTGGTTAATTTTTTTTATCCAGCTGAATGTATAAGCACCAGTCTCTATCCAGTGATCGAAATTTTGAATTCCGGTTTACGTAATGTGTACAGATAAACACTTGGACACGTACTATTGTGTGTTTGGGATGTGATAGGCTGTGGGTGACTATGGTGTCTATTACACAGCCCGTTAGATTGAACAATCAAATTTAGCATTGCTTGTAGGCTTGATTCTGTTCCATTTTAGTAACCCTGTTGACGGCAGAATGTGTCAAAGGAAAAGAGAGAGCTGCCATGTTGGGACGTGCTGGTAAGCAAGAGAGAAAATGACACGAACACAATTCACGCCAAACCAATACTCTGCCTAGTCATTCCTCTACTGGTATTCGCAAAC